TATTGATTCTTCCAATCCATGAGCATGGAAGATTTTTCCATTTCTTGGTATCCTCTTCTATTTCTTTCTTTAAGGTTTTGTAATTTTCATCGTAGAGATCTTTAACGTCTTTGGTTAAGTTTATTCCAAGGTATTTGATTGTTTTTGTAGCTATTGTGAATGGGATTGATCTTAGAAGTTCTTCCTCAGCCATGGCATTGTCTGTGTATACAAAGGCTGTTGATTTTTGTGCATTGATTTTATACCCTGCTACTTTGCCAAACTCTTCTATGAGTTCCAATAGTCTCTTAGTGGAGTTCTTTGGGTCCCCTAAATACAGAATCATGTCATCTGCAAAGAGGGATAGTTTGAGTTCTTCCTTCCCAATTTGTATCCCTTTAATTTCTTTTTCTTGCCTAATAGCTCTGGCTAGAACCTCCAGAACTATATTGAATAGCAGTGGTGAGAGTGGGCATCCCTGTCTAGTTCCAGATCTCAGTGGAAATGCTTCCAACTTTTCCCCATTCAATAGGATGTTGGCTGTGGGTTTTTCATAGATTGCTTTGATTGTATTGAGGAATGTTCCTTCCAAACCCAGTTTGCTTAGAGTTTTCATCATGAACGGGTGTTGTATTTTATCAAATGCTTTCTCGGCATCTATTGAGATAATCATATGGTTTTTCTTCTGCAGTCTGTTAATGTGGTGTATCACATTGATTGTCTTGCGCACATTAAACCATCCCTGCATACCAGGGATAAATCCCACTTGGTCTGGGTGGATGATCTTTCTGATGTGTTGTTGCATTCTATTGGCGAGAATTTTATTGAGGATTTTTGCATCTATGTTCATCAGGGATATTGGTCTGTAATTCTCTTTCAGTGCTGCATCTTTTTCCGGCTTAGGAATTAAGGTGATGCTGGCTTCATAGAAAGAATTTGGGAGGACTCCCTCTTCTTCGATTGTTCTGAATAGTTTGAGAAGAATTGGAGTTAGTTCTTCTTTAAACGTCTGGTAGAATTCAGCAGTGAATCCATCTGGTCCTGGGCTTTTCTTTGTTGGGAGGGCCTTTATTACTGTTTCAATTTCTGTCTCAGTTATGGGTCTGTTTAGGTTTTCGATGTCTTCCTGGTTCAATTTAGGCAGGTTGCATGTGTCCAGGAATCTATCCATTTCTGATAGGTTTCCCTGTTTGCTGGCATACAAGTCCTTGTAGTAATTTCTGATGATTCTTTTTATTTCTGTGGTGTCTGTTGTTACATTTCCTTTTTCATCTCTGATTTTATTGATTTGGGTCTTTTCTCTTCTTTTTTTAGTTAGTTGGGCCAATGGGGTGTCAATTTTGTTTATTTTTTCAAAAAACCAGCTCTTCGTTTGGCTGATTTTTTGTAATGTTTTTCTTGATTCAATCCTGTTGATTTCTTCTCTGATTTTAATTATTTCTCTTCTCCTACTAGATTTGGGTCTGATTTGCTGTAGGTTTTCTAGATCCTTGAGGTGAATTGAAAGCTCATCTATTTGGTGCCTTTCCAATTTCTTGGTATAGGCACCTATTGCTATAAATTTGCCTCTCAATACTGCTTTTGCTGTATCCCATAAGTTTTGATATGTTGTGTTGTTGTCTTCATTTACTTCCAGAAAGTTTTTGATTTCTCTTTTGATTTCTTGAATGACCCAGTGTTCATTCAGGAGCATGTTGTTCAGTCTCCATGTGTTTGCATACTTTCTGGGGTTTCCTGAGTTGCTAATTTCCAGCTTCATCCCGCTGTGGTCTGAGAAGCTGCATGGTATGATTCTAATTCTTTTAAATTTGCTGAGACTTGCTTTATGGCCTAGTATGTGGTCAATCCTAGAGAAGGTTCCATGCGCTGCTGAGAAGAATGTGAAGTCTGTAGATGTAGGGTTGAAAGTTCTGTAGATATCTGTTAGATCCATTTGGGCAATAGTGTCAATTAAATCTGCTGTTTCCTTGTTGATCTTCTGTCCGGATGATCTGTCTATTTCTGAGAGTGGAGTATTGAAGTCCCCCAGTACTATTGTATTGGAATCTAAATCTCCCTTTAAGTCCCTTAACATATCTTTTAAATAGACCGGTGCCCTGTAATTAGGTGCATATACATTTATAATAGTTACATCTTCCTGTTGAATTGAACCCTTAATCATTATATAGTGTCCCTCTTTGTCTCTCTTAACAGTTTTTGTATTAAAGTTTATTTTGTCTGATATTAATATGGCTACACCTGCTTTTTTTTGGTTTCTGTTGGCATGGAATATCTTTTTCCAACCTTTCACTTTCAGTCTGCATGCCTCTTTGTTAGAGAGATGTGTTTCTTGTAGGCAACAAATAGTTGGGTTGTGTTCTGTGAGCCAGTCAGCTAAACGGTGTCTTTTAACTGAAGAATTCAGACCATTAATGTTCAATGTGACTATTGATACGTAGTGACTTTGCCCTGCCATTTTCCCGGAAATATTTTCTAGTATATGCTTTGAGCTTCCCATGCTCTTTTACTGGTAGGTGTTCTTCCTTTCCCTTCTTTCATATTGATGGCCGTGTTTCTGTGTTTCTGAGTGTAGCACATCTTTAAGTATCTTTTGCAGGGCCGGACGAGTGGCCACAAAGTCTTTCAATTTCTGTTTGCTATGAAAGGTCATTATTTCACCTTCATTCACAAATGAGAGCTTGGCAGGATATAATATTCTGGGCTGGCAATTTTTCTCTCTTAGCACCTGTGCTATGTCTCGCCATTCCCTCCTAGCTTGTAGGGTTTCTGATGAGAAGTCAGCTGTGAGTCTGATTGGAGATCCTCTGAGAGTAATCTGACGTTTCTCTCTTGCACATTTTAGGATCTTTTCTTTATGTTTCACTGTGGTAAGTTTAATTACCACGTGTCGTGGTGAGGATCTCTTTTGGTCATGTTTATTGGGGGTTCTATGAGCTTCCTGTACTAGGATATCTCTGTCCTTCTCCAAACCTGGAAAGTTCTCTGCTAGTATCTCACTAAAAAGGCCTTCCAATCCTTTCTCTCTCTCCATGCCTTCAGGAACTCCTAGAACTCGAATGTTGGTTTTTTTAATAGTATCCTGTAGATTCCCAACAATATTTTTTAGGTTTCTAATTTCCTCTTCTTTTCTTTGGTTTGACTGTATGTTTTCCTGTGCTCTATCTTCTAAGTCCGATATTCTCTCTTCTGCTTCACCCATTCTGTTTTTAAGGCTTTCTAATGTGTTTGTCATTTGATCTATTGAGCTCTTCATTTCATTTTGATTTCTCTTCACTATAACACTTTCCTGTTCTACTAGTTTCTGAGTTTCATTTTGACTCTTCCTTAAAATTTCGTTTTCACGAGAGAGATTTTCAATCTTGTCCATTAAGGATTTCTGTAGTTCAAGGATTTGCTTTTGAAAACTTCTAAATGTTCTTATCATAAATTTTTTGAAATCCGTATCTTGCATTTCTTCTATCTCATCATCTTCATACTCTTGGCTTGGGGTGTTTTGCTTATTTGGAGGCATCATAGTGTCATCGTTGATCTTGCTCCCTCTATTTCTGTGTTTGTTACTCGGCATAGTTAATTCTTCTTGCGTCACTGTGCGTGTTTTTTTTTTTTTTTTTTATACTGTGTCCGTGTTAAGTGGACTGCCTGCTGTTGGAGGAGCCTTGGAGGCTTGAGATGGGTGCGGCCTGAGAGCTCTGCCTGGTTCTTCCTGGTTAAGAGTGTGCAAAGGTGACACCTTCAGGTTATGCATGGTAAATCTCTCTCTTTTTATTTATTTATTTATTTTATTTATTCAGGGGGTAAGTAACACCGCAGGGCATGGCTGTGCAGAATTGATGGTATTTAGCTTCCAGTCTTTGGCTCCTCTGGACTCCCACTGGGTTGCCTAGGCTACTGAATTGTAGTGACTCAGTTCCTTAGCTCTCCCCCATTGATATGTAAATCCAGAGAGGAGGCCTGCTCTTTGTCTCTTCAAGCCTTGCAGCCTTGTAACCTTTGCAAGGTTAGGGGGAAGAGAAACCCCGAAGCTTTTTTTTCCTTCTTTCCGGTAGTGAGTTTGCTGCACTTTCCGGCCCCCCTCTAGATTCTGACCCCCGTTTCCCCACCAATGTCTCGGGTTATTGAGCTCACCTCCCCTTCCAGCGCCGATGTGTGGACTCGGAGCCCTGAGCGTCCCAAGTCTCCCCGCTGTTGTCTGTGTGGCGTGCACTCCCCTTGGAGCGCTGGCGTGCCGACCCTGGGGCTTCTGCGGCTCGGTCCCGCGACTTGGCTTCCGCACGGTGGGCGACCTTGTTCTCCCAGTAGGTCCTCCGATTCACGATTCCCGTGCAATTTTTTCCTGGTTCTTTTTTTCTGCGGCTACCGTAACTCCCCTTTTATTAAACTAAATTTTCCCGGACTATCGGTGCGCGCCCTCACTATTCCGCCATCTTGGCCGGTATTTTACTGTTGAAAGTTTGACTATAATGTATCGTGGTGAAGATCTTTTCTGATCATTTCTATTAAGAGTTCTATGTGCATCCTGTTCTTGGATGCCCCTTTTTCCAAATTAGGGAAGTTGTGCTATTATTTCACGGAATAGGCCTTCTGACCCATTCTCTCTTTCCATGCCTTCAGGAACTCCTAAGGCACATATGTTTGGTTGTTTGGTAGTATCCCATAAATCTTGAACACCATTTTCAGGTTTTCTAATTTCTTCTTTTTTTTGTCTGAGATATTTCTAAGGATTTGTCTTCTATCTCAGACATTCTTTCTTCTGCCTCACCAAGTCTTTGCTGAGGCTTTCCACTGTATTTTCTATTTGACATATTGGTTTCTTCATTTCTAATATTTCAATTTGATTTAAGTATCTCCATCTGTTGGCAAAATATTTCATCCATATTGTGTATGGATTCCTTTATCTCATGAATTTTGATTCTCTGTGTTTGAGTAATCTTATATTTCTTTTGAATTCATTTTCACTTCATCTTCACATTCTAATGTTGAAGTATTGTTGTATTCCTTCAGGGGAGCCATATTGTCTTCCTTGTTCTTGTTTTTTTTTTTTTTTGTATTTCTGTGTTTATTTTTAGGCATTTGTGGAAACACTTGGTATTTTTCCTCTGATGGCTTTTATCTTTGAACGATGCTTCTGTGCCTTAGTGGAACGTCTTCTGCTTCAGTGGATATCCTGAGGTGTGTGCTGGATGTGGCCAGGTAGCTCTCATCAGTGCTCTAGGGTGGGGTGAGAAATCAGCGTGACGTTCAAGTTGGGCATGGTAGATATCCTCTGTTGTCAGTAGCGTGAAAGGTATGATCACGTTTGTGGGCATAATCACAGCCTCACCTCCTCTCTTCCAAAGTGATCAATGCCCAGGGTTAGCCTAGAGTGGCAATAACCCTCCACCCATGCAGGTGCATGAACCACATAAAGAATCTGTGCATTTCCCAGTGTGAGCAGAGAACCCTCTGTAGTGACGCACCCCAGGCGATCAGGGAGCTCTGAGGCCAGACACAGTTATTGCCCAGTGATTCAGCTGCACCCCACACCTATGGTGCAGTCACAGGATTCCTAAAGTTATAGAACACAAGGCTTCCACAGTCACAGGGTGCAAGAGTTCCACTCTCAGCCCTAGGAGCCTGCCCCTTCCATAAAGACTGCAGAGGTGCTCCCAGAGCCAGCTGCCTGTCAGTTTGAGACCTGGATCCTATGTTTTTTGTTTTGAATTGTTTTGAAATAAATCTTTATTTTTTATTTATTTTTTAAAGATTTATTTGAAAGAGTTACACAGAGAGACAAGGAGAGGAAGAGAGAGACAGAGACAGAGAGAGAGAGAGACAGAGAGAGAGAGGTCTTCCATGTGCTGGTTCACTCCCCAATTGGCTGCAACTGCCAGAGCTGTGCCAATCCAAAGCCAGGAGCAAGGAGCTTCTTCCAGGTCTCCCACACAGATACAGGGGCCCAAGGACTTGGGCCACCTTTTACTGTTATCCCAGGCCACATCAGAGAGCTGGACTGGAGGTGGAGCAGCCGGGACTTGAACTGGTGCCCATATGGGATGCTGGCACTGCAGGTGGCAGCTTTACCTACTACGCCACAGTGCCAGCCCCATGATTCGTATGTTAGAGTGGAGGGATGGGAGTGCCTCACAGTCCTAAGTGGGTGCTCAGCCCCTGCCAACCCTACAGGACAGACTCAGCCAGTGGGGAACATGGCACTAGCTTGAAAAGTAGTGGAGTTAGTTCCTCTAAATATTTTGGAGAATGCAGCTGTAAAGCTATTGGATGCTGGACTTTTTCTTCATGGGAGAATGAGGGATTACTTTGCTTGTTTGGGGCCAAAAATTAATGGGTAGAATAGTCCAGACACAGTTCTCTGAGTCCTGAGCCCAGTGGTGATCTCTTGGAAAAGACACCTCGCCATATCCTGTTGCTTTTCCTAAAGGATAGAAGAGATCTGAAAGATGTGGAGTTAAAGATGGATTTGTGCTCTCAAGATGGCAAGTGTAAGAGGTGAAGGAGTTCGCAGAAGCCAGACTTTCTACACCTGGATCATCATATGCTGTTGGGAAAAGCTGTTAGTACCTTGGCTACATCAGAGTGGGGCGATTGCATTTCCACCCTTGCTTCTCGGCTAAAAGTATGGGCAGTCTCAGGGGACCCTAGGGTGTCCCAGGAACCCAGGACGTCTTCCCAGATGACTGCAAGGGTGTAGTCCTTCCAGCTACTGCTTGGGCCCCTCCTTAAGGTCTGGTAGGAATTGGAGGCAATTAGTCTAGTTTGATTTCTTTTCTTAACCAGGAGCTTAGGGACTTTTCAAGAGTCCTCTCTGTGGTTTGTAAAATGGTAGCCTCTCAGCTCTTGCTATAGAGCCCAAGACAGATAAAGAAAGCTCAGGAGATCCTGGACTCTCCTGTTGCTTTTTTTTCTGGTATCCTTAGTAGAAACTGAAGACCCAGAAAGCTGTTTGATGCCTGAGCTCACCACATACTGGCGGAGGTCAGAGTGAGGTTGGAATTCTCGGTGGGCAAGGTGTGTATCTGTGCCTAGGGTCTCCTTATGTATTCCTCATATATTCCATATACATTCTGTGTGATGTTTCTTTGCTTGTGCAACATAGATATATGTATCTATTTTTGATGATTCTCTCTCCCTTTCTCCCTCCCTCCCCCATCTCTCTCTCTCTCTCTCTCTCTCTCTCTCTCTCTCTCTGTGTGTGTGTGTGTAATATGTGATGGACCCACAGCCCACTATTTTTCCTCTCTAAACACACAGCATACAACTCTAAACAGACTCACATTAAGAAAGTATAATTTTTTTGGTTTTGTTCGTTTCATCTCAAACATTTGCTCCGCTCTCCTTCTCTGACTACCTCATTTTTATCTGTGGACAGCCATCATCAGTGTGAGTAAATGAGCTTGCAGAATCTGAAGATACAGAGATGTGCTCAGCAATCTGGAACAGACGTCTTCTGAGTTGACTCATGACAGCCATGGGAAAGAAGCCCCGTATCTGTGCTCAATGATGTGGGTGTGATCTTAGATCTGTACTTGTTCCCGAGTGAGGTTACATGTGTTTGAGAAAGTGGGGTGTGTGTGTGTGTGTGTGTGTGTGTGTGTAAGTGCTGCTTGCTTGATTTGTACGTTGTGCTTATGTTTATGTGCTGATGCTTTTGAGTGACAGGAGCTCATGTACCTTTCTGGCTGACTACCTTCACCTGTGTTGGATATGGGTGGGGGGGAGGCAGGCTGGAGCCTTATCTCCAATGACGTGTGTGTGTGTGTGTGTGTGTGATAATGTATGCTGCTTCTTGCCTGAGTGGGAAGAGGCATGTGTGTGGAGTTGGTGATATTAATGACTTTTGTGTGATGTGTCTGACTTTGTGTTTACTTTTTACTGTGTGAGTGTCCAGAGTGTCAGTGTATTTATCTGAAATGTGACTCTTATGTGCTGCTGGTTGTATGCTTTGTATTGAGATGATACAAGTGTTTGCATGTGGTTGTGTGCATTGTTTTGTGTATCAGACCTTGTATGTTACTTGAGAGTTTTGATTTATGATTCCATAGATAATTTAGTCACATGTTCTATGTCCTGTGTATTTGTCTATCTATATTTATATCTATATCTATATCTATATCTATATCTATATCTATATCTATATCTATATCTATCTATGTATCTGTCTATCAAGAGAGCAAGAGAGAGAGAGGTCTCCCATCTGCTGGTTCACTCCTCAGATGGCTGCAACTGTTGGGGCTTAGCCAGGCCAAAGCCAGGAACCAGGAGATTTATCCTGGTCTTCCATATGGGTAGTAGGGGCCCAAGCACTTGAGCCATCCTCTGCCACTTTTCCTAGGCAGTTAGCAGGGAGCTGGATAGCAAGTGGAAGAGTCAAAATTCAAACTGGTATCCATTTGGGATGCTGGCATCAAAGGCAGTGGTTTTATATGGTACACCACAATGGCGGCCAAGGTATAAAAATTTTTAAAATTTATGTGCACAATGGGTCTTCAAAAAGTTAATAGAAAATGCTTATTATAAAAACTATGCATAGATTGCATTTTAGGGCCTGAATCAACTCATATTTTAATTTCTCTTTTCTATGAGATTTTGAAGTACACTTGTATGTGTTTCGGGAGCTTCTGGTTAACCTTTATGAACTCAAATACTTCTTAAATTTCTTTAAACAGTGATCATATTTCTGTCTGAGACAGGCAATTTCATGTGCATTTCCACCCTTTGGCAGCTATTGATGCCTGTAGTAAGTCTCCCAGTCCTCAGTCCTGTCCTTGTATCTTTTTCTGGCCTTGGGAAGTGACCTCAGCTCTCTGGGGTTCAGACCTCGTGGGTAAATGAGGGGTAACTGATCCTCCTGCATAACGGCTGTTAGAAGGATGAATGAGACAATGCATACAAATTCTTCAGCACCATGGCTGGCCAATGGTCCTCAGTGCAAAGGAGGAATTTTTGTTATCTTTCCACAAATCCTTTGTTGCTGTCATGGAGATTTCTTATTTTCCCATTGTCTAAGGAGGAACAGGGAGACGTCAAAAGCCCGTCCAAATGTTCCCTCCAAAACCTCAAGGTCATGACTTGATTTGCTTTTCACAGCTCATGGGTCTTGCTTCCTTCGGCATGCAAAGTTCTACTTGTAGCCAAGTTCCTAGCTGGCTCTTGCCTTCTGGTTCTTTGGTGAGTAGTGACACACTGTAGCTCAGTGAACAGCTGAGCTCTGCATAGGGGCAATCATTGCCTTCCTCAGTGGTCATGATCTGAGATAACCTGTGCCCCTGAGCAAGTACAAGGTCCCTGAGGAGGATTTGCTGTTCTGCTTCTCCGTGGTGCTGAATAAGTTTTGTCCATTGGGTCACTTACTTCTCAAATGCCATTATAAAGGAGAAATGGTTACCACTCCATTACTAGTGAGAAATGTGGACCTCAGAGAGCTGAGGCCACTTCCAAGATCTAAAACTAGGAGATCTACTGAATAAACCAAATTAGTAATGCCTAGTAGATTAACAATGTCTGATACCTCTTTCCTGGTACTGGTTTCATGCTTTAGTCATAACGAATTACTGAGGTTTGCATCTTTTTCTTGATCTCAAGATGTCAACTCCTTCAGTCCAGAGACTGCATTTCTTGTCCACTATTACTGTGCACATGCTCAGGAGTTGGTGTTGTGACTGGACAAGTTTATTCTCAAATAAATACATGTTGAATGAACAATTAATCTCCTTTCATTTATTTGGATAGAAACTTGGTTAATGTGAGGGTTTGATATGTGGTTGGGACTAGAATAGGACAGATTTGTGAATCATGCATCCAGTGTGAGAAAGAAACACAATTGTAGCTGCAACAAGAATTTTGTATCAGAGGATATACTGATAATGGTCTGGTCACGTCCACTGACATAAACGAATTTCCTCGATTCCCAACAGAGAAAACACCAGCATGAGGTGGGAGAACCAGAGCCATGTGTCCACGTTCCTCCTCCTGGGGCTCCCCATCCGGCCGGAAGAGCAGAGCATGTTTTTTGCCCTGTTCCTGGGCATGTACCTGACCACAGTGCTGGGGAACCTACTCATCATCCTGCTCATCAGGCTGGACTCCCGCCTCCACACCCCCATGTACTTCTTCCTCAGCCACTTGGCATTCACTGACATTGCCTTCTCGTCAGTCACTGTGCCAAAGATGTTAATGAGCATGCAAACTCGGGACCAATCCATCCCCTATGCAGGATGTATAGCACAGATGTACTTTTTCATACTTTTTGGCTGCCTTGACAATTTCCTTCTCGGAGTGATGGCATATGACAGGTATGTGGCCATCTGCCGCCCACTGCACTACATCTCTGTCATGAGGGAGGAGCTGTGTATCTCATTGGTAGCTGGGTCTTGGATCTTTTGCTGTGCTCATGCCCTGTTACACACGGTCCTCTTGGTCCAGCTGTCCTTCTGTTCTTATGTTACCATCCCCCACTTCTTTTGTGAGCTCACTGCCCTCCTGAAGCTGAGCTGCTCAGACGTCTCCCTCAATGAGCTGGTCATCCTTACTGAGGGAGGAATGCTTTTCGTCGTTCCTCTGAGTAGTGTCTTAGGCTCTTATGTCCGTATAGGGACCACTGTTCTGAGGGTCCCCTCCTCCAAGAGATTGTTGAAAACCTTTTCTACCTGTGGTTCCCATCTTTTCGTGGTGTCTTTATACTATGGGACACTTGCAGGTGTTTACTTTTTCTCTTTGTCACAGAACCCCAGTGAGAAGGACATAAGTGTTTCTGTAATTTACACAGTAGTCACACCGATGCTGAACCCCTTCATCTACAGTCTTAGGAACAAAGATATCAAACAGGCCTTAGAAGTACTAGTTAAGAGGGCTAACCTCTTTAAGTGGCCATCACTAAATCTTTATATTTGATTCATGAGCACTGTGAGATGTGACTCCTAAGATTACTTTATGGAGATAACTGATGCAGTTTTAAAATAATACATTTATATATTCCAATATGTACTGTGTTCTTAACAGGTCATCAGGACCAACTTTATTACTTAGATTGTCAGACCTCTAATCAATCTTTGCTCATTTATCATCTTTTATAAGATATATGGAAACTCTTAGGCAAACATGTATCATTATTATGGATTTACCTTTTTCTCCTTTCAGATATGTCATTTTTTACCTCATATATTTTATTTAAAATTTTTTTCTCACAGAAACCTTTAATTTAATGAGTACAAATTTCATAAGTGCAACTTGAAGAATATAGTGATTGTTCCCACCATACCCGCCCTCTCATCCCCACTCTCACCCACCTCCTTCTCCCTCTCCTATTCCAAGTCCCATCATCCATTAAGATTCATTTTCAATTAACTTTATACACAGAAGACCAACTCTATACTAAGTAAAAGAGTTCAATAATTTTCACTGAAATGTAATTGCATGGAAATGGTTTTTGCACACACACACACACACACACATACACACAGAACAAGTTTTACGGTTACTTCTTATAGTACAACTCATTGAGGACAGAAGTGCCCAGTGAGCCCTATTGTTAATTTTACAATCAACACTCATATGTATGATGTCAGCAATCACTCGAGGCTCTTGGCATGAACTACAAACTCTGTCAGCATTTAGACAAGGTCATAAGCAAAGTAGAAGTTCTCTCCTCCCTTCAGAGAAAAGCACATCCTTCTTTGATAGCCATTTCTTTGTAGGACATTTTTTTTTTTTTGCCACAATGTCTTGACTTTCCATGCCTGAAATTCTCTCATGGGCTTTTCAGCCAGACAAGAATGCCTTAAGGGCTGATTCTGAGGTCAGAGTGCTATTTAAAGCAATTGTCATTCTATGAGTCTCCTATGTAGATTGCTTCCCATGTTGGACCATTCTCTCCGTTTAAATTCTATTATTATTACCAGACATTTGATCTTATTTATATGATCCCTTTAACACTTAATCCTATCTCTATGATCATTTTAACACATAATATTGTCACTTTAACATTAAGATGGCATTTTTACCAACCAACTTAATGGAATTTGGAGTCTGATGGCAAGTTTTTAAACTGTACCCTTAGAAGTAAGTATGTAGGAATATATGCAGAGCTATACAGCTTTACAGTTACAAACTTCCTCCTCCCTCTCTTATTCCCAGTCTTATTTTTGATTGAGATCTATATGCAGTTGACTTTATACACATATGATTAAGTTAAGAGTTCAACAAATAGTAGAAAGAAGAGAATAAAAAACTGTTTCTTGACAGTCAAGACAAGGGCTGTTCAAGTCATTGCTTCTCAAAGTGTCACTTTCATTTCTACAGGTTTCCTTCTAGGTGCTCTATTAGTTTTCACAGATCAGGGAGAACATATGGTATTTGTCCTGTTGGGACTGGCTTATTTTGCTAAGTATGATGTTTTCCAGATTCATCCATTTTGTTGCAAATGACTGGATTTCTTTTTTTTTTACCACTGTATAGTATTCCATGGCATACATATTCCATAATTTCTTTATATAGTCCAGTTGATGGGCATTTAGGTTGATTCCATGTCTTAGCTATTGTGAGTTGAACTGCAATAAACATGGGGGTGCAGATAACTCTTTTGTTTACTGATTTCATTTCCCTTGGGTAAATTCGCAATAGTGGGATGGCTAGGTCATATGGCAGGTCTATATTCAGATTTCTGAGGTATCTCTAAACTGACTTCCATATTGGTTATACCAGTTTACATTCCAACTAACAATGGATAGGGTAACTTTTCCCCCACATTCTCGCCAGCGTTGGTTGTTGATCTTTGTATGAAAGCCATTCTAACAGGTGAGGTAAAACCTCATTGTGGTTTTGATTTGCATTACCTGACAGCTAATGATCTGAACATTTTTTTTCATGTGTCTGTTGGCCATTTGGATTTCCTCTTTTGAAAAATGTCTGTTTAAATCCTTAGCTCATTTCTTTACTGGGTTGTTTCCTTCATTATTGTGGAATGTCTTGATCTCTTTGTATATTCTGGTTATTAATACTTTATCAGTTGCATAGTTTGCAAATAATTTCTCCCATTCTTTTGGTTGCCTCTTCACTTTGCTGAGTGTTTCTTTTGCAGTACAGAAGCTTCTCAATTTGATGATAACTTTGCCTTTGATTGCCTGTGTCCCTGGGGTCTTTTCCAGGAACTCTTTGCCTGTCCCAGTGTTCTCTAATAATTTGATGGTATCAGGTTGTAGATTTAGGTCTTTAAACCATTTTGAATTGATTTTTATGTAAGGTGTAAGGTAGGGGTCCTGCTTCATATTTCTGCATGTGAAAATCCAATTTTACCAGCCACCATTTGTTAAAGAGACCGTCCTTGCTCCAGGGATTGGTTTTAGCTCCTTGGTCAAATATAAGTTGGTTGTAGATGCATGGACTAATTTATTGAGTTTCTATTCTGTTCCATTGGTCTATATGTCTATTTTTTTGTCAGGACCAGGCTGTTTTGATTATAATTGCCCTGTAGTATGTCTTGAAATCTGGTATTGTGATGCTTCTGGGTTTGTTTTTGTTATATAAGATTGCTTTAGCTATTTGAGGTCTCCTGTGTTTCCAATGAATTTCAGCATCAGTTTTTCTAGATGAGAAAAGAATGTCTGGTATTTTGATTGGTATTACATTGAAACTGTAAACTGCTTTTGGAAAATGAACATTTTGATAATACTGATTCTTCCAATCCATGAACATGGAAGTTTTTTTTTGTATCTCCTATTTCTTTCTTTAATGTTTTGTAATTCTCATTGTAGAGATCTTTGACATTCTTGGTTACATTTATTCTAAAGTATTTGATTTTTTTGGTAGCTATTGTGAATGGGATTGATCTTAGAAGTTTTTTCTCAGCCATAGCTTGTCTGTGTATACAAAGGCTGCTGATTTTTGTGTATTGATTTTATATCCTGTTACTTTACCAAACTAGTTCCAATAGTCTCTTGGTGGAGGCTTTTGGATCCCACATATAGAATCATGATATCTGCAAATAGGGATAATTTGACTTCCTGCATCCCAGTTTGTATCCCTTTCATTTCTTTTTCTTGTTTTCTTTCTTTTTTCTTGTTTCATTTCATTTTTTGTTTCAATTTTGTTGATTTCCTCTCTAATTTTAATTATTTCTTTTCTCTTGCTAGTTTTGGGTCTAGTTTGCCATTGTTTTTCTAGATTCTTGAGATGCATTGATAGTTCATTTATTTGGTGCCTTTCCAATTTCTTGATTTAAGCACCTATTGCTATAAACTTTCTTTTAATTAGAGAGTTTAGGCCATTTACATTCAAGGTTACTGTTGATAAGTAATGGTTTGGCCCTGCCATTTTTCCATAAATATTCCTATTTTTAACTTTGGATTTCCTTTATACTTTAACTGGGAAATTTACTTCCTTTATCTTCTTCCATCGTGATGACCATGTTTCTGTGTTTCTGTGTGCATCACATCCTTAAGCATCTTCTGCAGGGCTGGACAGGTAGGTGACAAATTCTTTCAATTTATGTTTGTCATGGAAGGTCTTTATTTCACCTTTTCTAATTAATGAGAGATTTGCAGGGTATGGTATTCTGGGGTGACAGTTTTTTTCTCTGAATACTTGGAATATATCTCACCATTCTCTGCTAGCCTGTAGGGTTTCTGATGAGAATTCTGCTATGAGTCTTATTGGAGATCCTCTGAAAGTAATCTAGTGTTTCTCTTGTGCACATTTTAGAATCTTTATGATTTGCTGTTTATTGTTTGATAATCATGTGTTGTGGTGAAGAACTTTTCTAGTCATCTTTATTAGGAGTTCTATGTGCTTCCTATACTTGGATGTCCCTTTCTTTATTCAGGTTAGGGAAGTTTTCTGTTATTATTTCACTAAAAAGCCTTCTGATCCTTTCTCTTCGTAAACCTTCAGGAACTCCTAGAAGCTGTATATTGGGTCTTTTTATAGGATCTTGTAGATTCCTAACAGTGATTTTTAGTTTTCTAATTTCTTCTTCTTGTGTTTGGTTTGACTGTATAATTGCCTGTGCTTTGTCTTCTGTGTCAGATAGTCTTTCTTTTGCTTCACTGATTCTATTGCTAAGGTTTTCCTTTGCATTTTTATTTGTTCTATTGAATTCTTCATTTCCAAGATTTTATTTTGATTACTCTTTATATTTCAACTTCATGGGAGGAATTTTCATTCATGTCATGTATGGGTTTCCTTGTTTCTGATTAATTCTAAGTAATCCTATTTTTTGGATTTTTGGATTCCATTTCTGGCATTTCTTGAATCTCCTCATCTTTGTAATATAGTATTGAAGTGTTGTGTTCTTTTGGGGGCACCATGTTGTTTTCCTTATTCTTGTTTCTTGAATTGGTGTATTTATTATTAGGCGTTTATGGAGCTACTTGTTGGTTTCTTGTGTAGCTTTTATCTTTGGACTATGTGGATTAGTGGAGTTTTCCTTTCAGGGAATACATAGGGGCATGTGGTGGGTGTGACCAAGGAGCTCTGTTCAGTGCTCCAGGACGAAAGGCATGTCTGAGGTGACACACCAAGGTTTGGCATGGTAAATCTCCTCTCTCTCTATCAGAGGGGAAGTTTGTCTTGTCTGTTGGCTTAGTCTCAGCTGAGCTCCTCTCCTTGAAGGACACCAGTGCCTGGGCACTAGCCCCAGTCAGTATATTATTCGTCCACTCTGCCACACAAGATCTGTGCAGTCCTCAGTGTAAGCTCAGATTCCCCAGCAATGTCCCTCACCAGGTAACCAGGGAGACCTGATAGTGTGGAGCCTCCCACAGTGACTGCAGTATCCCAGCCACACAGTCTCAGTGTTTGCACAGTCCCAGTATGCAATCCTCTCACAGTCATGAGCACTCAGTCTCCTATCTGTTCTACGTATAGGACTTGGGAGTCTCCGCTTGGCTGGTTGCTGGGCATGGACTTGAGCTGGTACAACTGTTACATATGTCCAAAATGGTGCCTACTCTCTATCAGTTTGTTACAGGATGCAGTTGCAATGTGATTGAGGAGAGAGAAACATGCCTCTCTCTTTGTTTTTTTCTCCTCTAGTCTGGCAGGTTCACTGTCCTGCCACTGTCCCCCACAGAGCTCCAAGCTGAATTCTCTCTAGGCTTTTCCTGCAGCTTTTTTGCCAGTGTCTTAGGCTTCAGTCTTGTCTCACCTCATTCTCCAGTGCTGGTACAGAGGCTCTCAGCTGCTGGGGTCCTGAGTTGTGGGTGTTCTCGCCCTCCAAGTAGGCCCACTGTGTCCCTCCAATTTGCATAGTTTCCTCTGCTGTTTTCTCCCTCACTCTTTCCTGAGACTGCACTCAGGACTTCTAGGACTCTCCTGGGTTTATTTAAAAGGAGTTGGAAGACATCTGTATTTGAATTAAATGATATGCTCTGACTTGAATATTTGAATATTAAATATTTGAATATTAATTCAAACTCAGTTCTTATAAGCACTGGTTTCAAAGGGGGAGGTAGTAAGTTTAATGGAGGGGAAGTAATCATTTTGAAATGAATTTTCATTATTAAAATCTTACCCACAAGAGAAACTAATTCAACCCTTTTGAAAGTCACAGACTAGGAATTCATGCTTATCACAATATCTGAAATTGAATCATAAGGTTGTAGAATACTTCCTTTTCCCATAGTTAATCACCACATCCACAGGACTTCAGTTGAAGAATAGTGGATTACAACTGAGATACAAGGTACAGAAGCTATGTAAAAAGAAGTCTCTACAGAAATGCAAAAACAGTAAGAGAGAAAAAACATGGAAACCAGGAAACACTGGGACCTCCAACACCTGTAGCTATTGGAAATGGTAAACACAGCCTAATTCCTAGTCTTCTAAGCAAAAATGCTCATGGTGAACATTCTATTCATTTTTTAAAAGATTGATTTATTTTAAAGGCAGAATTACAGAGAGGTAGAGGCAAAGAGAGAGAGAGAGAAGTCTTCCATCCACTAGTTCACTCCCCAAATAGAAGCAATGGCCAGATATGGGCCGGTCTTAAGCCAGGAGCCAGAAACTGCCTCTGAGTCTCCCATGCGGGTGCAGGGGCCCAAGGACTTGAGCCATATTTTACTGCTTTTCCAGGCCATAGTGGAGAGCTGGATTGGAAGTAGAGCAGCAGGTACTCAAACCAGCGCCCATGTGGGATGCTAGCAGGGCAGGTGGCAGCTTTACCCACTATGCCACAGCACCAGACCCTATTCAGTTCTATTCATTCAGTTATTATTATCTAAAGCATCAATCCAACATTCAACAAGAAATTATAAGGTATGCTAACAGGCAAAAAGCCCAACATTCTTACAGTACAAAACAGCCATTGCTGGAAGCCAGGTAGCCATGTGGCCCAACCACCCATGTTAGCCCCACCCCTATCCTAATGGGATTCACTGCTCCTGCTTCCCTACCCGCCCTCCCTGGCAAAGTTTTAAAGGGACCTGTTCCTAAACACATGGCTCTCTCTCTCTTCCTCTCTGTCTCCTGACCTCTGTCTGTCTCTCTCTCTTACACTCTCCTTCTCCCTCTTTCTCCTTCTTTGCCCCTTCCCTCTGGTCTGTTGGGTTTCCCCCAATAAACTCTTTCCCTTAAAAAAAAGATACAAAGCAAGCATCAAAACCAGACTTTATAGATGTTGGAAACATCAGTCATGAGTGTTAAAATAACTGAATAAATATGCCAGACTGTCTAATTGGAAAAGTAGAGAAAAAATCCAAGAATAGATGGTTACGGTAAACAGCTGGAACATGAGTGCTTTGTAATTTTCCTCATGTAAAAATAAAATTTATTCCTAAATCTGTATATATAAAATACATGAAATTTGTATAACTTAAATAATTTTTTTAAAAAAGCTAAATAATAAAAATACAGTTTATATTCTGTTGAACATCTTTCCAATTTTCTGATATTATGAACAAGATTGCTATGAACCTTCTTATTTCTATCTCTAGTTGACATGTACACAGGGTGTAAATTTGACAATGGGATTGCATCATGAACAGCTATGCACACTTGTACATTACAATGGTATCTTATTTCTCTACTAATAATGATTAAAACCAAATTTACCCAACAGACATTTGCGGTACATTTCATTCAACAGGTGCAGAATATACATTTTTCTCACTAACACATAGCATAATCTCCAGGGTGGATCATATGTTAGGCCACAAAACAAGTCTCAACAAATTAAAAATGTAAAATCATAGCATATATTTATTATCTGACCACAGATTAATAAAACCAAAAATCAATAACAAGAACTTTAGAAATTATAAAAAATATGTGGATGTTAATCAGTGTTCCATTGAACAATCAATGAGTAAATTAAATCAAAAGATAATTTAAAAAATTTCTTGAAACAAATGAAAATTTAAACACAACATTACCAAAGTCTATGAAATACAGGAAAAGCAGTACTAGAAGAAAGTTTATAACAACAAGTGCCTACACTTAAAAATACTTCAAATAAAGAACATCAAAACACCACTCAAGTTATTAAAAAAGCAAGAAAAAAGCAAATCCAAAGATAATAGAAGACAGAATTGAACAGAATTAAACAGAGACCAAAAATTGCAAAAGATCAATAAATAAAGCCAGAGTAACCAAGAAAATAGAGAGGCAATATCCAAGTAAATAAAATCTGAGATTAAAAAGGACCTACCAGACATACAAAGGATCACTGAGCTTGCTATTATTAACACACCAACAAATTGGAAAACCCAAAAGAAATGGATAAGTTCACATTACATATACACCACGAGGACATAGAAAACTAGAGCAAACTAACACAAGTAATACTACTGAGTCAGCAATAAGTATCCCAAGAAAGAAAAGCCCAGGACTGGATGTCTTTACTGCTGCATTTTACGAAAGCTCCTAAGAAAACTAAGGTTAATTTTTCTCAAACTATTCCAAATTATTGAAAGGGGGGAAGCCCTTCCAAATTCCTTCCATGAGGTCAGCATTAGCCTGATATCAAAGCCAGACAAGGACATACACACATATGAACTACATGCCAATCTCCCTGATCAACATACATTTCTCAATAAAATACTAGCAAATCAAATACAACAGCACATAAAATCCAACAACATAGCAAAAAGATCACTCACCATGACAATGTGGGATTTGTCGCAGGATGCAGGAATGCTTCAACATATGCAAAACAATATACATCATACATATGATACATCATATCTATAGAATAAAGAATGAAAGCCATGTGACCATCTCAACAAATGCAGAAAAGCATCTGATAAAATTCAAGAACCCTTCATGATTAAAAACAATCTTCAAATAGTTATGTATATAGAAGGAATACCTCAACACAGTAGGAGCTGTATATGACAAACCCACTGCCCATGTCATAGAGAATAGGGAAAGACTGAATACTTCCTCCATGATCTGGCACAAGACAAAGATGTCCATTCACCATTCTTATTTACTATGGTAGATGTTATAGCCAGAGCAATAGGCAAGAGAAAAAACCACATTCCTGTAGAAAAGGAGGAGGTCAAATTATTTGTGTTTATAAATGACATGATTTTGTATACAGGAAAACATAGAGACTATACAAAAAACTGTTAGAACTGATAAGTGAATTCAGTAAGGTTGCAGGATACAAAATCAACACACAAAACCAACAAAGTTTTAAATACACCAATAGCGAAATTGTTGAGAAAGAAATCAAGCAGTTCCATTCAAATAGCTACTAAAACATTAACAAAATCATCAGCAACAAAAAACTACCAGGAGCAAATTTTACTAAGAAAATGAACGATCCCCTACAATGAAAGCTACTAAACACTGAGAAAGAAATTAAAGTGGACATAAACAAATTAAGAGACGTTCCATGTTCATAGATTAGAAGAATTAATATTAGAATTTCCAAATTGATCTACAGATTCAGTGAGGTTGATTTCAAAATATAAATGACATTCTCACAGAAATTTTAAAAAGTGCCCCTAAAACATGTATGGGAAACACAAAAGACTCTGAATAGAAAAATCCTGGGCAAAAAAAAAAACAAAAACAAAAACAAAAAAAACAAAAACAAAAACAAAAACCAAAGCTGGAAGTATTTTACAATACCTGATTTCTTTCTTTTTTTTTTTTTTTTGAAAGCTTTTATTTAATATAAATTTCATAGATACCGCTTTTGGAATATAGTGATTCTTCTCCCCATACCTGCCCTCCCACCCCTACTCCCATCCGACCTCCTACTCTCTCTCCTATTCCATTCTTCATTAAGATTCTTTTTTTTTTTTTGACAGGCAGAGTGGACAGTGAGAGAGAGAGAGACAGAGAAAGGTCTTCCTTTGCCGTTGGTCCACCCTCCAATGGCTGCCGCGGCTGGCATGCTGCGGCCAGAGCACCGCGCTGGTCCGATGGCAGGAGCCAGGTACTTATCCTGGTCTCCCATGGGGTGCAGGGCCCAAGCACTTGGGCCATCCTCCACTGCACTCCCTGGCCACAGCAGAGAGCTGGCCTGGGAGAGGGGCAACCAGGACAGAACCCGGTGTGCCGGCGCCGCAAGGTGGAGGATTAGCCTAGTGAACTGTGGCGCCGACTTAAGATTAATTTTTAATTATCTTTATATACTGAAGACCAACTCTATACTAAGTAAAGATTTCAACAGTTTGCGCCCACACACACAAAGTATAAAGAACAGTTTGAAGACAAATTTTACCATAATTCTCATAGTACAACTCATTAAGGACAGAGGTCCTACAATGGGGAGCAAGTACACAGTGACTCCTATTGTTGATTTAACAATTGACACTCTTATTTATGATGTCAGTGATCACTTGAGACTCTTGTCATAAGCTGCCAAGGCTATGGAAGGTTTTGGAGTCCACAGACTCCATCAGTATTTAGAAAGGGCCATAATCAAAGTGGAAATTCTCTCCTCCCTTCAGAGAAAGGTACCTCCTTCTTTGATGGCCCTTTCTTTCATTTTTTTGCCACAGTGTCTTGGTTTTCCATGCCTGAAATGCTTTCATGGGCTTTTTAGTCAGATCTGAATGCCTTAAGAGGTAGTTCTGAGGCCAGAGGGCTGTTTGGGGCATTTGTCATTCTATGAGTCTGCTGTGTGGCCTGTTTCCAATGTTGGATCATTCTCTCCTTTTAAATTCTATCTATTGTTATTACCCAATACTTGGTCTTATTTATGTGATCCCTTTGACACTTATTCCTATCTTTATGATCAGTTAGGTACTTAAAATGATCACTTTAACTAGTAAGATGGCATTGGGACCTGCCAACTTAATGGGATTTGGAGTCCCATGGCAAGTTTTTAGCTTTACTGTTAGGGGTAAGTCTGTGGGAATGTATGCCAAACTGTACATTTCCACATATCCTTCCTCTCTTATTCCCACTCTTTATTTTTTATAGAGCTCAATTTTCAATTGGATTAAAATACCTATGCATAGTTCTGTTAAGTAAAGAGTTCAACCAATGGCATAATACCTGATTTCAAGGCATACTCCAAAGCTAAAGTAACTAAAACAGCATGATACTGGCATAAAAGCAGATACATAAACCAAGGAAAACAGAATAAAGTTAGAAGTAAATCCACATCTATAGCCAATCTGTTTTTGACACAGGCAATAAGAATATACATTAGAGAAAGGAAAGCCTGTTTAATAAATGGTCGTGGGAAAAGTAGATATATGAGTACGTATACAAAAGAAGGAAACCGGCCTTTACCAAAATTAAAAATAAGACCCAGAAAAAGAAATATTCAAGTGTATCTATTTATGTGCAAATGCCATGTTTTGTTAAATTGTTTCAAATCTTTGTCAAATGAATTCACGGGAATTATAGACCACTATAGTTTCAATGATTTTGTGACTATTTTAATATTTACATAAAGGAAGTTGAAAATCTTTCATCTGGTTACTGTTTATAGCTCTTTTCTAGTTTCCTGCTGGACTACAGTCTTTTTACTTTTTATTTGTTGAACTCTTTATTTACTAGAGCAATTAAGCCTTTGACTAAGATATAAATTTTGTTAAAAATTTTATTTAAGTTATACAAGGTTCATGTATTTCATATTTACAAATTTAGGAACATAATGATGCTTCACCCCCGTCCCTCCCACCTGCACATTCTCCAATACTTCTTCCTCCTCCCCTTCCCGTTCCCACTCTTCATCTGTTTTGAGTTTACTTAGTGATCATAAAGTTAATTCTGCGCTAAGTAAAAGAGTTCAGCAAATAGTATAAGGAAAAAACACTGTTCTTCAACCAAATAAACAAGGGCTGTAAATTATCTCAAAATGCCCATTTCACTCCAATACATTACATTTTAGGTACATATTAGGTACCGTGGACCAGGGAAAACATATGGTATTTGTCTTTTGGGGACTGGCTTATTTCACTAAATATAATGGTTTCCAGTTGTATCCATTTTATTGCGAAAGACATGATTTTATTTTGTTCATAGCTGAGTGGTACTCCATAGTGTATATATACCATAATTTCTTTATCTACTCAACAGTTGACAGATATCTGGGTTGACTCCATATCTTAGCTATTGTGAATTGCACTGCAGTGAATTGAGGGTATGGATAACTCTTTAATATGCTGATTTCTTTTGGTTTGGATAAATCCCCAGGAGTGGGATGGCTAGTAAGATGTAAATTAAAAATATGTTATCTGGGGCCAGTGCTGTGACACAGCAGGTTAAGCCACTGCCTGCAGTGCCAGCATCCCATATGGGCACTGGTTCACATCCTGACTTCTCCAC